CCTTTTTTTTTTGGATGTTTGGTATAATTTTTGGGGTATAATTTAAGAAAAAAATCTCTCAAGTCCTTCAATGCCTCATCATGGCATGGAGGTGATCATGACTTTGCAAATGAGGTGATCAAATGAGATAATGTTTGTAGAAAGCACTCAGCTAGTGCCTAAGACATAGTAGGCACTTTGTTGTTGTTGTTCAGTTGTATCTGACTCTTCGTGATGGGAATTTCTTGGCGAGGATACTGGAGTGGTTTGCCATTTCCTTCTCCAGCTCATTTTACAGATTGTGGAACTGAGGCAACTAGGGTTTAAGTGACTTTCCCAGGGTCACACAGCTAAGAAGTGTCTGAGGCCAACTTTTCAACTCAGATCTTCCTGATTCCAAGCCCAGCACTCTATTCATTATGCCACCTAGCTGCCCCCTAGTAGGCACTACATAAATTCTTATTCCTTCCCTTCCCCCTTCCTCTCTTCTTGAAGTCCATATCAATAAGTCCTAGGGAAGGCTTTGAATACAGGCTGCTGAATAGACTCTGACTTTTGTCTAAAGACTAGCTTTGATTCAACAATAGAATGTTGGTCACCAGATGATGAATTTTTTAAGGTCCAACAACTCATGAAGTACTAAAATCAAATGAAGTAATATTTGTAAAAGTATTTAGCACAGTGCCTGGCACATGGTGGGCACTGTATAAATGCTTATTCCCCTTCCCTTTCTCTCCCCTTTTGCCCACTTCCCTTATTTAAGGCATAGAGAAAGCAGATCCACCAGTTATATCACACATCTTTTCAAGGATTGAATATTAGGCAATTAAGTGGCATAATGGACCAATGTAGGACTAGAAGACAGAAAGATCTAAGTTCAAAATCTGCCTTAGACACTTATTAATTATGTGACCCTGCCCAAGTCACTTAACTTTTCTTTGTCTTAGCATCCTCATCTGTAAAATGGGGCTATTAACAGCACCTATCTCCCAGGGTGTTTTCTATGTAAAGCACTTTGTAACCTTCACAGAGCTACATAAATGCTAACTATTTCTAATAAATTACACACATACTAATGGATTAAAGGGGAAATGATTAGATATATCTAAAGAAGCAGAAGTCAAACCAGGATGCAACTTAAACCCATGGATAATCCATAGAGCAGACAGGTTTTACCAAAGATAATTAAAAAAATTGACCATAATTCTAAAATGCTTTTCATACAGAGAGCATCAAGCCACCTGGTATGTTTTTAGTTTTTTCAAAGATATATAGATTCTAGAAGGAGTGTTTCTCTATTTCAAACTTTCTCAAACCTAAACATGGTGCTGCAATTTAGAAGTGGAAGGAACTCAGAGGTAAAAAATTCCAAACTTCCTTGTTTACAGATGAGGAAAGTGAGGTCACATAGGTTGGAAGTAAGAGAGCAAGGACCGAAACATAGGTCCTCCTTTCAGAGCTCTTTCAATGTACCAAACTATCTCCCCAAACTGAACAAGTGTCTGCTGGAACACTAAGTCATTTCATTTTCTTCCTTAAGAACTAGAACCCACACTGATCCATCTACAGATTTCTGAAGCCTACTATTAGGAGTTAAGAACAGGCTATAATGTCATTCTAAACTAAGCTTTCTCACCATTCCTGATTTAACAGAGGCACATTTTCAAATAGAGTCTTTGCCTTTCGACACCTCTACGGATTCCAAATGCCACATACGACGCACAAGAAGAGACCAGCAAGCTTTGCAGAATGTAATATCAACATCCTCTTCTTTCATTTCTTTAGGTGGGTTAATATTTTCTGGAGAATTAGAACCATAAATGACATTTACTTTACTTGTCACTGTAGCAGATGGAAGATTTTAACCTTTACTATCAGGGGTTAATGTAGGTTTTTGTAAGCACTTCTATTTATCATAATAAAGGGCAAAACCAGCAGTAAAAATGCAGACATGCAATGGTAAGTAAATTCCACCACCCCAGTTTTGGTTTTTTTAAAAAATTACTTCTTTCTCTTACTCTGCCCCAGGATTTTTAAATTTTCTATGGTTTACATGAACACAGCATTACTTATTCAGGGGCCTCATTTAGCTACAGAGTACTAATTGAATTTAAGGTGGAAAGAATTATCTTTGCTACAAATAGCACCTCAGGGGAACAGCCCTGAAGTGGACTTTGAAGACTGTCAATGAGTAACAAGCACCACAGACTAGAGGAATGAGGGCTTTAAGGCCATGCCTACACTGGCAAATTAGTGGTGACATGAAAAAAAGATGTCCTAGAGTGAAATCAGCCTTAGGATTACCTGACCTCATTATCCAACTCTCCAAAAGCAAATAAATTATTCAAGATGCAACTGAATTTTTGAGAGACTTTCTGGAACTCCAAATTAAGACATGATTTTGGGCTACTAGTCCTACCAAACCACTGTATCAGAATATGCTAATTAATAACAATGTTATCTTTGGTGTCTTATAGAAATGGTGGCTTTTTCCAAGGCTTGGTGTTTTCCCTTTCACGAAGTGCTGGTGGAATAAATCATGCCGGTGGACATTGTGTTTCTTCACATATACAAGTGAAAACCTGATATACAGTCTCTCTTCTCCTTTTTTCTCAAATTATACCAGAGATGCATAGATTGTTAAAGATGGAAGGGAATTTAAAGCTTGCCTCAATCAAACAACTCAGGCCTTCAGATTCCAAGCCTAGTGTTCCATCCACTTGACCAATCTAATTTTCACCTGAGCATATAAAGAATCCTCCCTCTCCTGCCATGACCTTCTAGATTTGCTGTGGTTGTTTAGTCATTTTTCGGTTGTGTCCTGAATTTTTGTGACCCCATTTGGAATTTTCTTGACAAAGATACTAGAGTGGTTTGCCATTTCCTTCTCCAGCTAATTTTACAGCTAAGGAAACTGCGGCAAACAGAGTTAGGTGACTTGCCTAGGATCACACAGCCAGTAAGTGACTGAGGCCAGATTTGAACTCATGAAGATGAGTCTTCCTGATTCCAGGCTAGTATTCTGTCTACTGTGCCACCTAGCTGACCTTCTAGATGATCGGAGGCAAAATTTGAAATTCACAGACATGCTTTCAAGTGACTTCATCTGGAATTACATTTAATTTTGAACTTTTCACCTGGCAAAGAATTTGATCAGATTTACTCTGGGCACAACATCACTGGAATCTATTGACATGTCACTCTCCTGTCCAGCTAATGCCTCCTTACCACCTCTAGAATCAAGCACAAACTCCTTTTTTTGTTATTTTAAAGTTCTCCACAACCTGCTCTGACACATTGCTTCATGCACTCTGAGGTCTTGCCTCACTGGCTTTCTGGCTGTTCCTCATACTTGAAATTCCACCTCCCATTTCCAATGCACTTCACCCCTGCTCCACCCTTTAGAATGCCAAGTTTCCTTCACAGCTTGTGTCTGGCCTTTTGTCATTCTTTCATTTAATACTGCCTCTCTCCTGAAATGAACTTGTAATTATTTTGTATGTGTGCATGCATTGTTTCCCCTTTATGGAATGGAAGCTCCTTGGGTGGAGGGCAGAGACTGTTTCATTCTTGTCTTTGTATGCCCAGGACCTACCTAGCACTGTACCTGGCACATAGTAGGCATTGCGTAAATGCTTGTTGATTGGCTGATTGATTGAATCCCTTTTATCTGATCCTGTTAACCCAAACAGTAGAATCCATTTAAAAAATAAAGTATTCTCATAGTATGGACGTCCCATTCTATGGGAACAGTCCTGAGCCTCTGTTTTCCAATACAAAGTACAGTACAGGCTATTGAGGAATGGACAGAAGAGGCCATTATCTTTAATAGTATTCAACCATGCTGCGATTTGAAAGTATTTTAGGAGGGCTTGCAACCATTCTAATGAATAACTCAAAGACCCTCTTGTCACATTAAAAATTTTCCCTCTAGAAAAAAAATTATATGTAGATAGATAGATAGATAGATAGATAGATAGATAGATAGATAGATAGATAGAAGGCACAGGGTGAGTTGAAGATTAAGGGGTCATATCTGGAGAATAAAATTAAGGGATGAGAGAGGATTATACTCAGAGAAGAAGAAAGGGAGAGGTAGAATGGGGTAAATTATCTCACAAAGAAAAAACAGAAAAGAAAAGTCTCTTACAGTGGAGGGGAAGCAGGGGAAAGTGAGAGGGAATGAATAAATCTTATTCTCATAGGATTTGGCTTAAGGAGGGAATAACATACACATTCAATTAGGTATGGAAGTTTGTCTTACCCTACAAGAAAATAGGGGGAGAAGGGGACAAGAGAGCAGGGGGATGATAGAGAGGAGGGCAGATTGGAAAAGGATGTAATCAGAAGTAAATACTTCTGAGGAGGAACAGGGTCAAAAGAAAAAATAGAATAAATGGGAGGGCAGAATAGGATTAAGGGAAATAGAGTTAGTTTTTCACAACATGTCTACTATGGAAGTGTTTTGCATAACTGCACACATACAACCTATATTGAGTTGCTTGCCTCTTTAATGAGGGTGGGTGGGGAGGGAGGAAGAGAGAAAATTTGAAACCTAAAGTTTTAAAAACATATGTTTAAAAAAAAACTTTTCATGTGCTATCGGGAAATAAGAAATACAGGAAATGGGGTACAGAAGTCTATCCTGCCCTACAGGAAAATAAAATAGAAGGGGAAGAGAATAAGAGAAGGGGGGAGAGAAAGAAAAGAGGACAGACTAGGGGAAGGGATATTCAGAATGCGTGCCATCTTGGGGTAGGGGAAGGGTGAGATGGGGTGAAAATTTGAAACTCAAAAACTTGTGGAAATGAATGTTGAAAACTACAAATAAATAAATTTATATTAAAAAAAAAGAAAAAAAATTTCCCTCTAATTTTGAGAAGTCTGTCACCTTCCTCTCAGGGTAGTTTACAATGAGATGTCCACAACTGAGACCAAGTGTGTCAGGACAGGATTATGGCTGATAAATCCGGGCCAAAGCCACTTTCATGTGTTAGAACTGGTAACTGTCACATACTCACCATCTTTGGCCACATCACCAATGGGCACATTGTGTTTCTGTGACATGTAGCCCAGAAAGGAGAAGATGACAAAGCCAGAAAAGAAACTCGTCAGGGAGTTGACAGAGGTAGTGATGATCGCATCTCTGGGAAAACACAAAACAAGTCATCATGAAGCAGAGGAAGATTATGGGAACAGATGTAATTTTCAACTCATTATTTTTAATTTACTGGGACTTGAAGAAGTGGGGCCAAGGAGGAGGGCAGGGCCATTATTTAAGGCATTTTTGTAAAGGAGCCTGTTTTTTCAGAATGAAAATGATCAACCTATCTACTCTGGTTAACAGAGCAGTTTCCTGCAAGCTTTTTTATCCAGGGCAGCTCTTCTGTCCTTAGAGTAACCCCACCGAAGACCAATGCCAGTCTCACCTCTAGGGGCCTCTCTGACACCTCTGACCCTCAGATGAATATACTCAACTGGGTTTCTGCAAGCAAGAGTCTGAGCAGGTCAGGTTCTCTTGGTCCTGTTTGTTACTTGGTAAGGGGCAGAAGAGGAACTCTTCTGCACAACATCCTTATGTACTGGCTGTGTAACCCAGGGCAATTCACTTAAACTTTCAGTCTTCTGGGCAACTCTCTAAGACTCTAAGTCCCAGAGAAGGTGCTAACCAGTATTCATAGAGGTAGTTTCCCCACCCAGGAGTTCCCTATACCAATGAAATCATCATTCCAGTCATTATCCCTATGCCAGGAGCATGATACAAAAGTTCAAATCTCTGACATTTAAACCAGGAGTAAAGCTAGAAATTCCTGAATTGATTTAAATCACATGTCTGGCACATAGTAGGCACTTAATAAATGTTTATTGATTGAGATAATAAATTAAAGGATTTTAATGGCATTCAAGGAATTGTATGATTGGAAGAGAAAAAAAGCTAGTCCCATGGCAAGAGTGAGGGAAGACAGGGGGCATGCATCTTAATTGCTGGAGGAAACTCCCAAATTGGTGAGATCACAGTTCCATTTGAGTATTTTAATGTATTCAATGTATATATTTATACCATGTTCCAAAAATAATATTTGAGTTGTTATGCATTTCTTAAATGAAGTTTCCAGAATTAAATAATTCATTCTACAAATAGTACGGGAGAGATGGGAAGGCCCAGAAACATGAATCATAGAATCAAATAGTTATAGAGTTGGTAAGGATCTTAGAAGTTATCTGGTCTAACCCTAAATTCAATGCATAACTTTCTTCTATACCATCCTCACTCAACAAGTGACCATCCAGCCTCTGGTCAATCACTTACTTGTATGCTGCGGGGAAGGGTATAAAGCAACATTCAGGTTCATAGGAAGAACTTTGGTTACTGATACCTGTCATCACCATTATTATTTGGGCACATTATGTTATTTTTATTTAGCTTCTTAGAAGGCTAAATACTGTTGAGATGAAAATCCAAATATGACAATTCAAACCAAAAGAGGTTTACTTAAAAAATATAAATATATGTACACATACATACACATACACAGACATATAGTCTTAATACCTAATTTGCAAGGAGATTCTGTGAACTGATTGCTAACCATTTTTTTGGAGGGGGGAGATTTTTTACCTTAATACAGTATTGTTATTTTAAGTTTTTACTCCATAAACATTCTTTAAAGCAATCACAATGTTCAGAAATGGAGCTTTGATTTTTCCTTCGTATTTATTTGGTCTCCCCATATTCCTGTCTACAGTATCTTTTTTGATACAAAAGAAGGTAAATAATCAGCCTATAAAGGTCAAAGACACCAGTATCTCCACATAAAATCCCTGGGTTATTTTCAGTGAGATTCTTTGGCCAGAGAATTCATGTCAACAAGCTGCATATGTCACTTTTTATAGGCAACACAGCCCAAAATGAGCTTACCCAACTGCTGCTGGGGAGAAAAGAAGGGAAGGGGGAAAGGAACAAGCATTTATTAAGCACCTACTATATGCCAGACAGTGTGCTAAGGGCTTTACAATATTATCTCATTTGATCATTACAGATATTCTCTAATTCGACTTCATTGGAAAGAAGAAACACTTGGTGATTTGTGATAGAAGGCAGTCAGATTCTCTGTTCCATTTCACAGACTTGTCCAGGGACATGTGTAGTGCTGCTCAGAATTACTCAATGCTTTTTTGAACATATTTCAGATTTTCCTCTGCAGGAGTGAACATAGTAGAAGAGATGGATGAATAAGAATTTAAAGATTATTTTCATAATATGCTATGAATATATATTTTGAATGCTGTCAAACTCTGTAATTTGGTACACGCTTTCAAATTAGCTTCAGATTTTTCTAGCTTTACTCCTTCAGACTGAGGTTAAATGTCATTGGTTTTAGTTTCAGATTATATTTGTTTCATTTTTGACTTTACATCCCCAGGCGCTGGTACTGTGCCTGCCACACTGTAGCTTAATAAATGCTTGTTGATTAATTGGCATTTGATCACATATCTGTGAGTTAGAAAGGGGGTGGGACAGCTGGGGAAAACACTTAGCAATGACAAGAAGTGGGAGCTAACATCAAAGCATGGGCCAGGGAGGGCACTTAATGTAAGAAGAATGATCCCAGAAGATATCATTGTATTATATGATTATCTTACCTGTAACACTTAGTCTTTAGTAAAAGGTTAAATTATGTTTAGAATCATTTGTTTAAGAAGAGAGTGAAGTGTGTCAGATTCCAATCCTTGTTTTAGGTTTCAATCTTGGCTCTGCTACTTGCTAGCTGTGTGACCTTGGTCAAGTCACCTAATCTCTCGAGGCCCCAGTTAAATCACCTTGTAAAATGAAGAAGCTGGACTAGATGACCTGAGGTCCCTTTTAGCTCAAATACGGTCCTGTTATCCATAAGAGAGCTTGTCATTTAGTTGTATCTGACTCTTCATAATCCCATTTGGAGTTTTCTTGGCAAAGATACTGCAGTGGTTTGCCATTTCCTTCTCTACCTCATTTTCCAGATGAGGAAACTGAGGCAAACAGGGTTAAGGGAATTGTCCAGAGTAACACAGCTAGTAAGTATCTGGGACTGGATTTGAACTCACAAAGATGAGTCTTACTGAATTCAAGCCCAGTACACTGTCCACTCAACTACGTACCCGTCCTAGGAGAGATCTATATGAATGTAATGATGAGAGGCTGCTGACTATTATTAAAAAGTTGTTGTTTTTGTTGTTTGTCCTTCGTTCTCAAACAGGACCATGACATCATGGAGGTGATGCCATGACATGAAAATGAATTCGATTTAAGTGAGGGAGGTCTGTGCAAAGTCAACAACCTCACTTTCTCCTACAGAGCTATCTGGGTCCAGCGGCCAGACACACATCAGGACAACTGGAGATAGCCCCCTCCATTAAGAGGAAACTTATCAGGAAAATGTAAAGGGTTGAAAGTGATGGGGAAAAGGGAAGAGCTTGTAAAGGAAAAAATTATAGGTCTTAATAGAGAATTTTTAAATAAAATTTTCAGTTCCTGCACATGGGTACCCTCAAGTCTCATCTAGACGTTAATTCTAAAAAAAATGAAAATCCTACAGAACTAGAGAGGTCATAACAATTTTATTCTTTGTTTTACCTATTTAATGTATGTATTTTAGTCGATTTTAGACAAACCTGTTCTATCCTTATTCTACTTTTACTTTATTCAAAAAGTCTAGCAGAGTTCTGACCATGAGGTCCAAAACTTTGTGTGATAACTGTATTTCAATATGATTTATTACCTTTGTAATCCTATGGGCTTTTAAAAATTTTATGCATTTAAAAACATTACTCTGAGGAATCTAAAGGTTCACCAGCTTACCGGAGTCCACAATAACCAAAAAGGGTAAGTTGAAGATCTAGTTTCTGGGTTTTATAAGCAGTTTTCCCTTTCTCTTCTTCCAGACAGTGACTTCTGTCTCAGTTGTTTAAATATCTCAATAGAAAAAATAAATGACCCACCATTTGATCATTTAAACACTTTCAAAGATAAAGAGTTCAGAGCTTACCTATAACAGTTGTTAGTAAATTTATTGTAACTGGAGAATGCTATTAGCACACCAAACCCAACACCAAGAGAGAAGCATATTTGAGTGGCAGCATCTATCCAAACCTACAAACGGATCCAGAACCAGATACACAAAAGAAGAGAGAGAGAGAGAGAGAGAGCAAGAGAGAGAGAAAGCTGTTATTAGAGATAATTGCAGGAAACTCATTCAGCCCAAAGATGAAAGATAAGAGCTGAATACAAGGTAATTTTGCAAATTACTGCTGCATGCATGCATGTACCCAATCCTGCCCCTCAGATTATTGTTTTCAGTTATGATGTCCCGAGTCCTTGCTGAGGGGAATTGTGCCTGTCCCTGTGTCCTGTTCTTTCTTATGGAAAACAGCATGAGTTTAGACTCAATTCATTATCAAAAGGAAAATGGTATTCAAAACATGATCAGTAGCAAATTAAGACTTTAAGAAATAAATATTTTTTATGGCCTTAGCATAAAAGAGGATATTCTTAAAAAGAGACATCTTTTCTTGGTACCTTCAATTGCTATTTTATCCCTACATAAAGTGCTATTAAAAATAGGTTTCAAAAATAAAACTGTAATACAATAACATTTGCAAGAATAAGAATTTATGAAACCCAGGTTAGCCTGTCCATTCAGAAACTGAATATACACGTCCTAAAAATCTGAATGAGATGCTTTTCTATGGCATCCTTAAGAAACAGATAGTCTATAACCAAGACTGGCCCAGAAGAGATATGAGCAGGGGAGTGCTGGTAAATGTTTAACAACTATTTCTTGGAGGGGGAGGAATGAATACACAACTCACTATTAACATTTCTTAAGTCTAAACAATCAACAAAACAATAAAACAAGTCCTGATTTGCAGCTTTTGCTAATTTCCAAGGCGTAAAGGCACATATTGAAAATTTAATAAATGCTTCCAGCTGGCTCCAACATACCCCTGGATATGAGAATACTGTCCCTCTTAATTCTTTACAGAGCTGGTGGACTATGGGTGTGGAGCATGGCATATGATGCTGGATTTGGCCGATGTGCTGGTTAGTTTTGGCTTTTTTTTAAAACTTTCTGTTTTTATTCTTTGGTTATGTGTGTGTGTGTGTGTGTGTGTGTGTGTATAGAGGGATATATTCAGAAATGAAGATGACATAAAAACAAAAGTAGTAATAAAAATATGTTAAAAAGAAAAACGTGGTCTAAGAAATATATTAAAACATTTTTTCTAAAACCCAAGTTAGCTATGGATCACTCTTCTAATGATACCTTCCTTCTCTCTTTTGTATTTAGCCTATTCCCCAATATATAGAAAGTTATTTATTTGAGTATCTTTTCTGTCATGTCGTGAGCTCCTTGACAGCAACTACTGCTTTGTATATATATTCATATCATATCTATCTTGCATAGAATAGAAACTTTAATGCTATACTTACATGAAATGTCTGTATACATCAAGAGATATTGTGTGAGTCAAGGATAACATGCAAGGATAACCATGCATGTCATGGATCAATTTCTACACTGATAGAGTGAGTTGTGTTACTTACAAATATTCTCAAGAATTTGGTTCCTAACCAAACACTAGTGAACTCTTCATTATCCACGTGAAGTTTGTCCTCATTCTCTACATCAGGGGTTCTTAACCTTGCTTGTGTCCTGGACCCTTTTGGCAGTCTAGTGAAGCCTATGGACTCCCTCTCAGAACAATGTTTTTAAACACATGAAATAAAATTTATGGGATTACAAAGGAAACCATTTGTAACAGAATACAGTTATCAAATTAAAATGAAACAAAACACAGGGTAAGAACTTTCACTCTCTGTGCAGAGCTGACCCTGTGGTTGAGCCTTCTTCCCAATTCATCCTCTGCAGATAATTCTTTTTTATGTGGGGTGGGGTGGCTGAGGAAACTGGTTCAGACCTCTTACTTTGTCTGCAGACAATTCTTTCCTGCCCTAATGCAACTACATAAAGACCCGCACGCTTACTGCCCATCCACTGTCCTGGCCTAAAAACGCATGGAGTCCACTGGGTGGCTAGAAGACTGGGAAGGAGTAGAAGGAAGAGACCAGGAAGCCTTGGTAGCAAGTACTCTTCTAACCTCCTTCTTCAATGTTCTTCTGGAGGTGACGCACAACTTTTCTCCCTCAGTTTATACCAAAATGTTCGTGACTTGTCAGTCAGGTGGTGTCATTTTCCTCAAACGGAAAAGTGATTGCTGGGGGTGGTAAGGAATGATGGCAGCAGCGACAATGTTCACAACAGTCCTGAAGGGACCTGTAGCAGAAATAGTCCTTCCCTTCTCTGGATCCAAACTTACTTCAGCTTGACATTTCTCAAGGCCAATCACAATCTGCTAGGCATCTCCCATGTGTGTTAACAGGGGCAGGTTTCTCTTCAAGTCTGACTCCTGGGTGGATCGCTAGTCAATTATTATTTCCTTCTGACATGTCCAGCTTCAAGTTTCGCCTTGGTTCTTAGCTGGTTATTGTTGTGCCTGCTTCTTATCTTAGGACTGACATAAATTTCTTCAGCTCTCCTCCCTGAAAGACTAAACTCAGAGACCTGCCAACCTCAGGCTAAGGACCTTGGCCTTTTCTTTCAACAGCTCTTTCTGCTTAGGGTGACCTAACCAGTACACTTTTTCAAACCTTATCTTTGCAGGCTAGGTAGGTCATGACTAAGGCAATAGCCATTTGCCCAATTATCACCAAATAGCCCTGGGGTTCAAGGTTCCCCAGTTGTATAAACTCTAAATTTTTCTTACAAATCCAAGGAAATAAGGCGGTGGAGAAAAGGTATAGAGGCAATCCATGACTTGGAGGAAAGATCATTGTATCTGCTGATTGCTCTGAAGCTTTCTTGGCCTGTTTGTATGGAATGAGCTGCTTGAATCCTCATATCCACTACTAGGGTCAAACGAGCCTGCTCAAAGTTTTATGCCCCCCTCCAATCTGAAAGGGGTTCACCCTTTGTGAGGTGAAAATGATCCCTTTCCTAAATGGATACTACCCCTATATCAGTATTGCAACTAGGAGAAGCTAGAAGACCAATCAGAATGCTTGTGAGAGATTTTGCTGCCACTCCAACATGAACCAGCAGTTTGTAGTGGAAGGCATTGAAGGAGGAGGTATTCTGGTTCCATGTATTTGTGGACGTGAGAATTGCCACAACTATCTTCGGGCAGAATTGGAGTAGTAGCAGAGAGATGACTGAAGGAAAAGTCTTGAGGATGAACACAGCCTCTTCCCGTGGAAGCTCTTCTTAGTGCTCTACTCTGTGGGGTGACTGCCTAGGAAAGCAGCTTCAGAGGGCAGAGAATGTGATAATTGTAGTGTGTCTGTGTCTCCTATGAGCTACTATGGTGTCTTGTATTCTCTGGCTGTACTTGGTGTCTGCTTTCTGGTCATTAATGTCAACCCAGACATAAAATGGTATTCTCAGCAAAGGTGTTCACTATCATAAAGGAAGATGATTGTATCATATTTTGCAATTGGGGTTTAGTGACTTGCCTAGGGTCACACAGCCAGTGTCAAGCATCTGAGACCAGATTTGAACTCACGTCCTCCTGAGTCCAGGGGAAGAGGAAACTGAAGCCCAAAGAGTGGCTTAGCTTGTCATCTAGATAGTCATCAGTAGACCTGGTATTCAAGCCCAGATCTTTTCTCTCCAAATCCAGTCCCTTTCTGCCTTTAATGTCTTTCCCAAGATCCAAATGGAAGAGAGATTCTCACTTGACGGTGAGGTTCTCCAGATCCTCCTTTTTATAGATAATGTTGGGCTAATTGCATCAAGTCCCAGAACATTACCAAGCTTCCTCCATGTGCTCAAAAGAGATTGGCCCAAGAATCCACTTTCTTGGATGAAAAAGGCCTATTGTCCAGACTAGGAATTGCAGTTGAACGACAAGTTCATTGAAGTCATATGGTGGTACAAATACCCAAAACATGCACTGCATATGGATGTATGAGTTACGGCCAAAATGAAACACAGGGATGAAAGGGCTGGATTTCATTTAGAAAATGGGCAGTGCTTTTTAACAATCACAGGCTGCTGCTCAGAGTGAAAACACATCTTTAAAAAATATATATATTCTCACAGAAATGGTGTACATTTGAGAACCTTGGATTACCATAATCTTTGCAAGATCAAAGTTGCACATATTCCAAAGAGCCACAGAGAGGAACACAGTGGACATAGGTAGGCTGCATCATTCTTCTAGTTATGCCCCCTATTTAAAAAGTGGTAAAATACATATATCAGTGAGGAAATGTATAATCATCAAAGGATGTGGGCTCATCCTGTTGGGCAAACAAAAGTCAATAGATGGAGAGAGCTCAAGTGCTGCTTTGACATACATTAAATTGAAAAAGACCTACAGGAAGGACAACAGTATTATGGGTAGGCCCTCTGTGGAGGAACTATAGATGAACATGGACAAGATTCATATAGGACAAGAGATGGGTTTCATTTTTTTTTTTAGTGAGGCAACTGGGTTTAAGTGATTTGCCCAGAGTCACACAACTAGGAAGTATTATGTGTCTGAGGCCGAATTTGAACTCAGATCCTCCTGAATCCAGGGCTGGTGCTCTATCCACTGCACCACCTAGCTGCCCCATGGGTTTCATTTTGAACTGATAGAGGGAATTCCTGCAGTGATGGGATCACTTTCCTTAAAAGAAGAAGGCAATTGATAGGGGGAGAGGGAGGAACTTTGTCTAGTGTTAATCATGGTGCACAAAACATTGACTCATAATGATGGAGATTTTGCTTCCTGAGAAGATCAAACTTGTCACAATATCTTCCCCTACCATGTTGATGAGTATGGTACTAAAAAATCTTTCCCAGCCAAGGAAATAAGACATACTTAAGAGATAGTTCAGCGGCACAGTGGATAGAGTGCAGGAAGACATCTTCCTAAGTTCAAATCTGACCTCAGCCACTTGCTAGCTGTGTGACCCTGGGAAAGTCAATAACCCCCTTTGCCTCAGTTTCTTCATATGTAAAATGAGTTGTAGAAGGAAATGGAAAACCACTCCTGTATCTCTGTCAAAACTCCAAATGAGGTCACAGAGAGTTAGACATGACTGAAAACCAACTTAACAACAAGAAAGGAGACTGCCAGTAGCCACAAAGGATAAGGCAGCACTTCTGCCATCTAAGAAAATGTTTGCAATTGCCTTTAGTGATTCTGAGGAAACTTGTAGGAAGAGAGTAATACACCTTAAAGTAACTAGACACACTGAAAGGCTTAGAGATTTGCCTGGAGATGGAGATGTTAAGTGACTCATCACAGCCAGTATGTCAGAATCAGGATTTGAAATCAAGCCTTAATAATTCCAAGGCCAGTTCCTTATTCATTACAAAATGCTGCCTTTATAGAGAAGTTATTATGATAGTCGGGATGGTTGGTAAGATGAACTTATACTAGTGCGGAGTCAATGAGATTAGAAAAGAGGGGATAGATGTGAAACATATAGACATAGAACTGAAGAGTACTTGGGAGCCAAGTGGAGATGAGAGGTGAACCTAAGCTTCCATACTATTAGAATTGGGCCTGACAAAGAAGGTTGTGGACATAGCATTGAAGGGCATAGCTACATCTTAAATAACGTATTGAAAATCCTAGACTCTATGATAAGACAGGAAGATGCTTCCCAGGTTCCCAGAGGTTGGATGTTGGATTTTGTATCTTGGTCCAGAAAAAAGAAAGGAGAAAAGGTCATGGTTATCCATGGATCTTCCTTCTTCCTCACCTCTCAAATCCAATCAGTTACCAAGTCCTCTTTAATTCCATGTGCAAAATATCTCTTGTATCTAACTGCTCCTCTCCGTTCCCATTGACACCACACTAGTGTAAGCCCTTTTAACAACTCTCTGAGCTGTTCAAATAACTTCCCTATAGATGCAGTATGGCATAATGAATTAAAAGCTGATCTTAGGGTCAGGAAGACCTGGGTTCAAGTCTCAACTCTGACACAGCAATAATATGACTTTGGGTAAGGCACTTCCTTAATGCCCCTAAGCAATTCTCTAAGGCTGTAAATTTCAGAAAAGTTGATGATCTTCATGGATAGAGGAAGTTTCTTCGCCAGGAGTTTCCTCTACCAATGAAATCATGGTTCTGGTTCCAAACAAATATCTATTATAATATCTATCTGCCTATCTATCTATCTATCTATCTATCTATCTATCTGTCTGTCTGTCTGTCTGTCTGTCTATCCATCCATCCATCCATCTACCTACCTACACAAACACACATATGTGTGTATGTGTAACCAGGCAACTTTTTAAGACTATTAGTTACAGGTGAGTTACCAATCTGCTATTGTGGAATGAGCCTTCATACTGGAAGTTCCCTATACTGATGAAATTACATGTGTGTATGTATATATATGTAATACAGTACATATTTATGTGCACATATGTATATGCACATATCTGCATACACACATAAATTTATATACATGTACATCACATATATGCATGTGTTATGCATACACACAGACATGCGTACATGTACATCACATATATGTGTGTACATGTTTATATGTGCACATATATAATATGCACTACACATGTGTGTGTGTCTACACACACACACACACACACACACACACACACACACACACACTTTTATCTGTATAGAACAACAGTTTAATTGTCAAACCCTATCCTGTCCCTCTAGTTTTACTAAGTAACACTTCAGGAAAGACAATTTTCACAGGCCAAGATTGTCATCACAGGAGTTGAAAGAAGTAGAATTTTCTCAATCTAAGTTAAATAAGGCCTGAACTCACAGAGCAGCAGCTTAGAGAGAATCAAGGGATTTCAAAGTAGAGACCTAAAATGTTAGAGTTCTTCAGCTCGTCAATCGGTGTCACTTGTTGGAATCTATGTCTCCAAAGAACTTCAGAGAGCTTCTAGGGCTATAACTTATAGAACACGTATTCCCTCCATACACAGTTTGCCTCCATGCACATTTCCCGTGTGTGTGCTTCTCCAAATGTGTTCCTTGGTGGTACATGTTCATTATGTGTATCCTTTCTCCCACTTGTGCTATAGTCACCTGTAGGAGAGCATAGCTGTGTATTTATGTGGAGAATCTTGTCCATGATTGTTCTATTCTGTTTAAGTGTTTTTGCTGTGAACTACTATATCCTCTAGCCAGTCTAGTAAAAGAATCCCATCAGTGGGTCTTAGGATCAATAAATTTGAATGTCTGCTGATCCATAAAATCCCTCAAACCTGGGGTCATTTCACTTTCTGTGAGTCATTCGGGGAAAGGCACCCTACATACTACATTTGTATAGACAGTTATATTTATCTTGCTTATAACACCTAACACAGTGGAAATAACAGTACTCTAGGGTTGTGTGATTGCTGTTTATGATGCTAACAAGATTATCAGGTGATTTATACACGTTTGTTCTGCCAAAATGAATTGTTTACTATTAATACATTCCCCTGAACCAGCATTAATTTGGGTTAATAATACCTAAATGTGGAAAGCCTAAATTTACTAATAGATTATTTGGTTAAATACTAATGTTATTTTCTCTTTAAGGATTGTGACCATAATCTCTCCTTCCTCTGCTCTCCTAGATTCTAGAGCACTTAATGTTTCTAACTCTTCTAAAGAATTTATCATCTACATCCTTTTATTATAACTCCCTGTCCATATGCCTTAGATACTCAATTAGATTATAAATTCCTGTAGGGCAAGGATGGTGTCATACTTTTTTGAATTTCCTACCTAACCTGGTCTCTTTTGTATAGTTGGTGCTCAACAAATATATCGTGATGAAATAAGTAACATACCATCATCCTGCTTCCCTTATGAATCGTTAGCATAAATATTCTAGGTGACAAAAGACAAACTCATAAGTGAATAAGGAACACACACTCACGGATGCCTCACAGAGACGGTAGAAATCAACACTCAAATAGGCCTTAATGCCGTCGATGGCTCCTGGAAGGGTGACCCCACGTAGTAGCAAGGCTGTGAGGACTACATACGGCATGGTGGCTGTAATCCATACCACCTGAATGGAAAATCATGGTAATTATCCTCCTTCATTTCATTCTTGGTATCACTTTAGTTTCTCTCTCTCTCTCTCTCTTTCTCTCTCTCCCCACATCCACACCCACACATTTTTACACACATACAGAGAGAGAGAGAGAGAGAGAGAGAGAGAGAGAGAGAGAGAGAAGTATAGTGTATACTATAGGTATGTACACTCACATCTTGGCCCACTGAAAACAAGCAGGCACCAAATTTATGAACACAATATCCCAAAATATTTTGAAAGTGAAAAAAAAGTTTTTTTACATTTAGTGAATATTAAGATGTCTGACATATTTTAACTGAAAAAATATATATAGGATTCAGCCACATTAAGACAATCAAATAAAGGCAATCATTTTCCCCTTTCATCTTGCCTCTCATTCTCTATGACAGATTCAGAGGTCTGATTCAGAGGCATAATTAATTGCTTTTGTTTTAACTATCAGGATTTTTTTGGGGGGTTAAGATTTTATAAATGATGTCTTTATAAATAACATGCTTAGACTCAAGCAATCTCAGTTTCCTCCCCCATGAAACTACTGACTAAATCACTGCAATAGATATATGCATCCTCCAACAAAAACATGGGATTTTTTTTTTGCTTACGTTTTTGTCATTTTCATTTATGTGAGTGCCAAAAAGCACGTTTGACAAAATGTTTTGGTCAGGAGCAGACCACAGATTTCATTTAACCACTCATTTCCACTATATAAAGTTGGAAGTACATGGTAATTTCTTAACTCTCCCTTTAAAAATGTTGATGAATTTTGTTTTGACTAGAGGAAGTATACAAGGTTACACTGGGCCTAGTTATCAATATCAGTTAATCAGTCAGCTAGCATTTATTAAGCTCCTGCCACATGCCAGGCACTGTGCTAAGCACTGGTGATACAAAGAAAGACAAAAGACAGTCCCTTCCTTCAAGGAGCTCACAGTCTAAGAGGGGACACAACATGAAAATAGTTTTGTCAAAATAGGATGTGTATAGGGTAAATTGGAGGCAATCACAGAGAGAAAGCTCTAAGATTAAGAAACACTGGAAAAGAGTTGGAAATGTTACCATAATTAAACAATCTCCTACTGTCATCACTGTGAGGCCAGTATACTACACCCATTTGCAGATGGGGAAATTGAAGGGCATAATATAAATAAAATGAATGAAAACATTTGATGTACTTTTTCCTCCAAATATCTCTAAACTGTTTTGAGTTTTGATAAAATTTATCAGTTGTCCTTTTTTAGATTTAAAGCACTTACACATAGAGGGAAATATTCCAATATAAAAATACTTTGTCAATCCAGGATTCAGTTATACTGCAACCTTATCTATTCAGAACATGGTGAAAATGTAGAGAATACACAAAAATAGATTTTCCTGGCTCCAAGGTCAATGTTTGCTTGTGTTCTCTCATCACCAAATACCAGGATAATTTCCACAACATGGAAATATGATTGATGCAGTCATTTATTAGGGTCCTCTTTACTTTTTCTCTCGCATGTGAAGGATAAGTCATTGGTTTGTTTTAAGTAAAGCTTCCTTCCTTCACTAAAGCCATTGGTGCTTATCAACAAAAAGAATCTGTTTTGATTTTTATACTCAAATATACAAGTGGATCTGATCTTTCCAAGGAGGCAGACAAACTATGACTCCATCCATGCTTGCCTGTCCTGTAAGACTTTTATTCTAATCTCTCTTAAGTTCACCACACAGGGGCTACCCAAGGTATAGGGGAGGGAGAAGACATTCCTTCTTAACACATTAAGGATATGAGTGGACAAAGTCTGACCATTGGTTAGTTTTAGCCCTGACTACAAAACCAGCTCAGCTTCTATTTTAGATCTTAGATTTCTTTGATACCTTTACTTTGGTCCCTCTCTGTTGCTTTTTTAAGTCTTGCAGCCCATTTACGCCTGCCACATGCCTCGTCATTGCTTCAGGTGATATTAATTTTGAATTCTTTGGAGATCGTAGTGTTCCATGACTCCGTTAATATAACATCATTGATACAGTGTTTATACTAAAAAGGTCGGTCTTTTTTTCAAGAAGAAGTTTGGGTTATTAAGGGAGGTTTGTAATTTCCCAAAAGTAATCTAGCTTGCTGTCCTCTTCCTGTTTAATTCTAAGCCCCAGATATGATCCATCTGCAGTGCTTGTCCAAGATATACATGCTAATGAACAAGCCATATAGGTTGTCCATCACAGAACTTAATAACCTAGACAACAGGCAATTCTTTAATATTTTCTCCATGCATAATTAGGTAAAATTCTTTCATTTCTATAGGCATATTTACATTTCCCATGTCTTTCATTTCAGAGTATATTTGTTGATTCAGAAAATCCTTTCTCATACTGACATTTGTAATGAAGACATAGAGTCCCACTTAAGCTAACTAATAATCACCTTTCAAAAAATAAAACAATACTGAATCCTGGCTCTGACTTACTATCCTGTTACTATCAAAAATGTCTTGAGATTACGTGCATCTTTGATTCCATATGGTCCAGCTGTTGATGAGCCTTACCTTCCCAGATGTCTTCACTCCTTTCCATAAGCTGAAATAAAGCAGCACGATTACAATAACCAAGCAGGAGGTTAGCTGCCACCGAGGAAGGCCCAAATCATCAATTCCTTTGCTCTGGTGAAGATGCAGCACTCCTCGTCTGAAAAATCAGGAGGAGAAAGACTGTACACAATTCCATTGCTTCTACATTGGCAAAGTGAAGGATCTGGAGTCAGATGACTTGGGTTTTTATCTGAGCTTTGGTATTTAATGGCTGCATGAAATGTCAACAAGTGACAACCTCTCTGGGTCCCAGTTTCCTCATTTATACTGAGCCAGCTTGGCCCCAAAGAAGAGATATGAGAAGGAATTTCCCCCATACCTTCTCTGCAGAACTGGGAGACCATGTATGGGAGGTATGGCTTTATATAAGGTTGGACTTTTTCCTATGTTTGTTAGTTTTACTAAACTTTTCCCCATTCTTTTTTATACTTCGTTTTAACAGAAAGTTCTCTGGGAGGGGATGTATTACAAAATGTGGATTTCCTTGCTATAAGTAAAAGGACTTATAGTATATGTGCATATATATATATATATATATATATATATATATATATATATGTGTGTGTGTGTGTGTGTGTGTGTGTGTGTGTGTGTGTATATGTATGTGTGTATATATATATGTGTGTATGTACGTATATATATATACACATATGTATGTGTGTATGTATGTGTGTATGTGTGTATACACACATACACACACACACACACATATATATTAGTACATATAAGACTTTCCCCTCTATCTTTGATCTCTTTAAGACATATGCCTAGTAGTGAAATTGCTGGGTTAAAGAGCAGCCACATTTTAGTGCTTAGGAAGGCATACCTCCAAACTACCTTCCAGAATAGTTGGACCAATTCTCAATTCTCCTACTACTATATCACACCACTCTACATAACAATGAGATATAGCAAAAGCCTGATATGTAAAATGGCTAGTCATTTAGTGTTAGTCCAATCCCGAGCTCATAAAAGGGTCCCCAGATAGATTAGAGTTTATTGTGTGAGGAGCACCGAGTTACTGTGATTGCTAAGATTACATCTCTAAGACACCTAGAAGGTTTTGGGGAAATAAGTATTATGGCTATACATATATATTTACACCAAATATAGCTATACAGTACATAATTGCTATTGCTGTACATTATAGGCATGCTGTGCACCTTTTGCTTCCCTTGTTTGCATATCCATGATTGAGATCGGCAAAAATTGAGAATTCCCAAGCTTCTTCTCTCCTTGCCTTCTTCTCAGCAGTTATCTGTATACTTACTCTCATTGTGGCACAAAGCAAAGACCATGTATTGGCTTAGATAAAGGCCAATATGAAATGGAGGCTCAGAAAAGGCTCTGCTATTTGCTACCTGTACAACTTTGAATAAGATATTTAGTCTTTCAGGGCTGCTAGGGCAGCTAGATGGTGCCCTGGATAGAGCATGAGTCTGGAGTAAGGAAGATCTGAGTTCAAATTCAGTTTTGGAATACCTACTAGCTGTGTGACTCTAAGCAAGTCACTTAACTCCTATTTGCCTCAGTTTCCTCATCTGTAAAATGAGTGGGAGAAGGAAATGGCAAACCACTACAGTATCTTTGCCAAGAAAACCCCATGGCCAAGTCCATGAACAACAACAGATGCACTGGAGATACAAAGACAAAAGTAAAATAGTGTTTGCCTTCATGAAGCTTAGATTTTATTGTGGAAGAGGGCCCTAGAAGTCTGGGAATCAGAAAAGACTTGATGTAGAAGGTAGCACTTTTACCAATTGAAGGTAATTAGAAATTCTATCATGTTGCTTCTTACTAAGACCAACACTGACTCAGAAATCATTGTAAACATGTATTCCTGTTTCTCTTTTAATCTCTTTGCTGTACTTTGCATATCTTTACCTTATTTAGGTCAACTAAAGAGAAAATTTGCTTAAGAAAATACCTGAAGAGTTTTTAAGACTTCTTCACTGAAACATGTTCAATGAGTATGCAGGCTCCTCAATTAACATAATTGGTCAGTCTTTATAATTACCATATTGACATTTTAATAGGATAGATGAATATCATAGTGACTTTTGTACAAACATACATGTGAGTGATACAACTGAACCACATGACATTCATCTATTTGCAAAAGGAGTATTGAAAAATATGATTTTCCTCTACTTCCTTTTCTGTGTACATCTTGGAGTGAGGGGGAGCTGAGTGGTTAGAAGAAAATTGTGAGCTGGCATATCTGTAGATATATTTTTTTTAAAGCTGATTAAGCAAGAACACAACAGTGATTTTTCATGATTCTCTGGATTAGTTAACAGCATAGCTTCCTTTGCTTAATATAGTGATATCTCTCCAGCTATCACAGAAATGACAAATAACTTATGGGGATTTTAAAAATCAGAACAAATGAAGGTTGGGTATTTTTTTTATTTTGAGAGTTTCATAACAATCCTTGAGTGAATGAGGCACATTCCAGGGAGAGATGCTGTCATCCCAAGGTTGGGAAGTCCCTGCTATGTGTATGTTTGTTTCTGCTGCTTCCAATATGGTAATCATAGCTCTATGTCCCTTTAACAGTACAGTAATTAACCATACAAATTAGAAGGTCCAGGACATAAAGGAAATTAAATCAGCCCACAGATCTTAATGAAATCTAGTTGACCTAAAAAAAATTTAATAAAAATGACCTTTCAAGTCTTTTGATTAGATTTTCATATGAATTTGTGAACATGGGGAACTCTATGGTAAAAATAAGTTACTGTTGTGTTAACATATACTATTATTTGGGAATTCCCTATATAAAGGATCAGGGTAAAGATTACTTCAATATCCCTAAATTAACGTTAGTTAATGAGTATTTAGCATGCATTTCCTATGTTCCAGGCGGTGAGCTAAACTCTGGGTATGTAAATAAAGTTAAAAACATGGCTTCTCTACTCAAAAAGCTCACATTCTAATGGGAGAGATAACATTCAAATAATTATGTACAGATAAGATCTATTCTATACAGTGTAAATGGAAGGTAATCCCAGAAGAAAAAGCACTAACAATTGGGGGAAAAGAGGAAAACTAGGAAAAGCCTTCTGCAGAAAGTGTGACTTGAACCGAGTCTTGCATGAAGTCAGAGGAGGAAGAGGTGAGGAGGGAGAGAATTCCAGCCAATGTGAAAACAGGTAATCAGGAGATAGAGCATGAGATAATAGAGCACATGGTGAGGAGTAAAGCATATTATACAATTGGAAAACTTGGAAGCAGCCAGGTTGGCAAGGGCTTTGAATACCAAACAGAGGATTTTATATTTGATTCTAGAAGTAATAGGAGTAGGGGTATGTGACATGATCAGACTTGCACTTGATTTTACTAATCACCTTGGCAGTTGAGTGGAGGATGGACTTGAGTGGGGAGAGACTTTAGGCCAGGAGAGTAACCAGAATACTATTACAATAATCCAGGGTCATCATGGAGAAAGCCACTGAGATCCCTCACCTTCATTCCGTCATGTAAATGCTTATTCCCTTTCCCCCCATTCTCAGGTATTGTTTGAATAAACTGGCAACGTGAGAATAAAACCAGTCCTTTAGAGGTAGAAATGTTCATATCATTTACTATCCTCTCTCTCCCAAAGCCCAGTATAGGCAAGATAACCATAACCATACCACTACGAGGTCAGTATCCCAAAAGACATTAAAAAAAAGGAAAAAGAACTATACGTACAAAAGTATTTATAGCAGTTCTTTTTATGATAGCAAAGAATTGGAAATCAGGGGGATGCTTATCAATTAGGGAACGGCTGAAAAACTTGTGGTATGTGATTATGATGGAATACTATTGCACTCTAGGAAATGATGAGCAGGATGCTCTCAGAGAAACCTGGAAAGACTGGTATTGGCTGATGCAAAGTGAAATGTACTGTGTACAAAGTTAATAGCAATATCGTAAGATGATCAGTTGTGAATGACTTAGCTATTCTTAGCAATACAATGATCCAAGACAGCTCTGAAGGATATATGATAAAAAATATTATATCCATCCTCAGACAAAGAATTAATGGCGTCTGAATGCAGATTGAAGCATACTTTTTTTTACATTAGTATTCTTGAGGAGTTTTTTCTGTCTGTACTCTTTCTCAATATGAGTATTATGGAAGTGTTTTGCATGACTACACATGTATAACCTATATCAACCCACTTACCTTCTAAATGGGGAGCAGGTGAGGAAGAAGGAAGGGAGAAAACTTGGAACTGAAAGTTTTAAAAATGAATACTAAAAATTGTTTTTACATGTCACTGGGGGAATTTTTTTTTTAAAAAAAGGTTAAAAAAAGATAATGCTATGCTAGCGCCCCACTCTCATGAAAATCTGTATAACAATCCAATGAAAAAGAGGAAGCAATCAAAGAGAATACTTCATTAATGTTCAGTGATCCTCCCTTCCCACCCACCCCCCACCATCTCATGCTAGAAAAGATGCTACCCTAAGTGAGAGCTTTGAGAGATTCTCTTGCTTCATCCTGTGAACTGATTGGATTTTTCTCAGTCTTAGCCCCTACCTTCCCTTGACTTTTATTCAGTATTTGATACTATTGACCACACCTTGATAATGTGTCCTCCTTGGTTTAAGACACACTGCTCTCCTCTGATTCTCTCCTTCCTATCTAACAGCTCCTCATTTTCCTTTACTGGTTTATTTTTCTCTTCTGAACCCCAGTGTGGATGTCCCTTAGACTCTGTCTTCGAAACTATTCTCTTCTCTCTATATACTTTCTCCTTCAGTGGTCTCAATATGCTACAAACTGAACTCATCATTTCTCCCCCCTTTCCCCACAAAGTCTTCCCTTTCTTCCAGCTTCCCAATTTCTTTTAAAGCCTTTTTCAATCTTAAGGAGATATAGGAAATATGAGTTATGAATTCCATCACCATTCTCCTAGTCTCTCAGGCTCTGTAGAAATATGAGTTGTTATTTCTACCACCTGCTTACTTAGGCTTGAAACCTCAGTTACCTGTCACTCTTCCCTTTCCTCTCTCACACCTCACCGACTCTGACCCAATGCTTTAGGGAACCTCGGAGGGAAAATCTTTTGTTTCTCCCTAGGAATCTTCTCCACCCCAACATCA